CCTGTGCTGGGGATAGAGATTACTTAAAAATAAAATCTTGGCAGGGGCGGAAAAAGGAAGTAAAGTGCCTTTTTAATGGAGTACCCGTTTTTTTTTTCCTTTAGGGAAATGTTTGGATGAGTTACTTGTCACAAGGGTACTGAGTAAAAAAAAAAGAAAGCTACGATATTTTTTAGACATGAGTATGACTCACAAATAATCACTTTTTGGTTTGGATCTTTAAAGGAATAAGAACATCTCTAGAAAATCGGATTTAAAAATGGTAGTTGTGAAATAAAAAAGGAAGAAAATATAGTATAAATTAACATGAGCTATGCTATTTTAGATCCAAATATATGTACATTTTTATCAAGAAAATTATGCTCATTGAAAAAATACATATTGTTCAACAATTAGTTGAGCTGAAAAAAGTGAATTTTGCAAACAGTTGCTATCAATTAAGTATAGACAGACATAGCACTATGTGAGAAAAGAACAAGCTGGTAACAGTTTGGGAATAATGATATTCAGATTTTCAATTTCTTTGAATAATGTTTTATATTTTTTAGAGTATAAGTTTTATACTTCTTTTGTTGAGTTTATTCTTAGGTATCTTTTTCTCTTTGATGTTATTATAAAAGGAACTGTCTACTTTCATTTTCAGTTCACTGCAACTGTATACAAATACAATTGATACCTGTATAGTGGTCTTCTATCTTGCAACCTTGCTAAACTTATTTTATTTATTTTTTTGCCCTGACTAGAACCTCCTATAATGTTGAATAGAAGTGGCAAGAGGAAGCATCCATATGTTGTCTCAGGAAAAGCATCCAGTCTTTTGTCATTAAGTATGACTGACTCTAGTTTGGGGTTTGGGGGTTTTTGGTTTTGCCTTTTTGGGGTTTTTTATGGCAGGGGGGGGCCTTTATCAGGATGAAGATGTTCCCTTTTGTTCCTAGTTGGTTCAGAGTTTTTGTTATGAAAGGGTGTTAAATTTTGTCAAGTGCTTTTGCTTTTTCTACATTTAGTGAAGTTGATCATGTGATATTTAGTAATCTTTTATTTAGGGAAAAAACCAACTCAGACTTGAAGGGGGAAAAAAAGATATTTATTGGCTCACTTTTTTATTTTTTAAATCTCACTTAACTGAAAAGTTCAGTGGATATCTTATCTATGGTTATAACATGGCCTTGTTGTGAATGTCAATCCAGATTTGCGTCCTTTCCCTGCTTCCCTCAAATCCTCCTACACCGATTCCCTTCATGTGTGAATCATGTTTAGGTCTCTGGCGATGGCAGAATGACTGTTGGCAGCTCCAGGCAAACATCTTCAAGACCAAAGGAAAAAGAGAGTCTCCATTTCTTTCTGCCTTTGTCCAGACCCAGCAATAGTCCCAAGTTTATCTTTGGTTCACTTGCCTGTTGCAGAGTGTATCTTTGAGGTCAGGGGATGTGAAGTGTCATTTAAGCCTGAATCACATGTCCCCGCTGGAGCTGGTCAGCCCCACCCAACTACGTGGATAGAGTATGGAGAAGGAGATTTTCAGTAACAGAAATGTGGCGGTTGCCAAAAATAAATATCCACTATGCCTTCTGTAGTGAAATAATCCAGGATAATGTGAAGTGTGTGAAATTGGCATTTAAGTACTTTTATTTATTAAGTACTTTTATTCCCCTACCCCATCCTTGGCATCTCCCCTACCCCATCTTCTCCCTGGCAGGGCTAGCTTATATAAGCTAAAACTTTTCTCTGCTCATTGAAGTTTCTTGTCTAATCCTTCCAAGTGGGGGGTTTAGCTGATACCACATTCCATCTCCAATAGAGAATGGCTTAGAAAAGCAGTGGGGTTGGACAGGAAGATTAATCTAATGGTAATCTAAGAGAGCAGGGACTGGTTATACCCACAGTTTTCATCTGCTCTTTTGTTACCTTGAATATTTTATTATTTCCAAGTATGTTAGTGAGGGCTTTCTAGAAAAACAGATCCAATAGATATAGAATTGTATACGTATTACATGCATACATGTATATGTATGTATGCATATATCATACATGAAGGGTTTTATCAGAGGAGCTCTTGCAGTTATGTATGAGAAGTCCCATGATCTGCTCTAGGCAGGCTGGAGAACCAGGAAAGCTGGTGATGCAAATTTGGTGTGAGTTCAAGGGCCTGAGAATTGGAGTGGTGGATGGTATAAATCCTGATCTGGGTCTATAATCCAGAGAACCAGGAGCACCAGTGTCCTAAGGCAGGAGAAGATGGATGTCTCAGCTCAAAGAGAGAACAAATTCTCCATTTTTCTGCCTTTTGTTCTACTCAGGCCCTCGGTGGCTTGGATGGTGCCCTCCTGCAATGGGAGGGCAGTCTTTACACAGTCTACTGATGCAAATGCTGATCTCTGCCACTGACACCCTCACAGACAGAACCAGAAACAGCATTTTGTCAGCTGCCTGGGCACCCCTCAGTCCACCAAGTTGACACATAAAATTAACTATGACATCAGTCAAGGTAACCGCAAATTAATTTAAAACAGGAAATGGGTTGATGGCCTCTTCATTCTTGCCTCTTTTCTCATACAGTTATTGGTGAGCTGTATCTGCGTGTCCCAGTCCCACTCCAGACTCTCCGTTTCTCTGCCTGTAAATTTCATATAATGGGAATGAGACCTCTGTGGTCTCTTAATGTGCCTTCTGAAAAATCCAGTAACTTTATGCTTTAAAGAAAAGTTATTCCTGGTCATGGTTTTTATAGTTACAAACTATAGGATAAAATAATGATATGTAGAACTTCCCCTGGTATAATTATAACTTCTAGGTAAATGTAGAACCTATTACAGGGAAGGTGGTGTTTCAGTTGCTATTACAGTTTACCAGCTACTTTCAAGACTTAACTGCAGCTGTGCTTCTCATGTGTGTGTGTGGGGGGGGGGGCTGTTTAGCTTTTTTCAGATTACTGTAAGATAAACCTAGTTTAGGGCCACATTTTTTCAATTTATAGATTTTTTTTACATTTTGACAACTGAAGTTGGAAAGCATCTTAGAATCAGCACCATGTCACTACTTAATGGGCAGGTATTTTTTCTTCCGTTACATAAAATAATGGTATGTCTTAAAATTGATGATGTGTGATTAATTTTCTGTGTCAGTTTTCCTGCGCCCTGGGGTGCCTAGACATTTGGCCAGACATCTTTCTGGGTGTGTCTATGAGGGTATTTCAGGATGGGATTGGCATTTGAATTGGTAGATTGCCTTTCCTAATATGAGCGAGTCTCATCCAATCAGTCAAAGACCTATACAGAATAAAAAGGCTAAGAAAGAGGAAACTCCTCCTGCCTGACTACGCTGGGACTTTGGTCTTTCCCTGCCTTCTGACCGGACTGAAGGACAGCTCTTCTTGGGTCTTAAGCCTCTTGATTTGTGTGAATCAGGCATCAGGTATCTGTACCTAAGCAGCCCCTAGGGTTGTGCTCAAAGCTCCTACAGGCCTCCTCTCTGTCTGCCTCAGCTGCAGAAGAGTCTCATCGGAAAAGTGTATATCCCTAAAGGGCTATAGCATTTCTGAGAAAGAAAAATATATATCTGACTGAGGACTGTGACAAGGCTTATGCAGAAATAGTCAGAGATGACATTTTAGAAAAGAAGATTCAGCTCAGGCAGTAGCCCAGAAGCAAGAATACAGAAAATAAGTTTGGTGTGTCTAGAATATAGATTGGCTAACAGCACTAGATAAGATGTATATTTCAACCAAACATGGTTTGTCCCCTGAAATTCTCCAAAGTAAAAGTAGTTAGGCCCTTGAATGTTTTAAGATTATTTCATTTCAGTGGATCAATACTAAGTAGTAAGTCAAAGTTATCTTCTCCTAGGGCTCATATACCCCTACACACAGGCTTATTAGCACTCTGTAACTCTGTGACATTGAAAGGGCTGTAGCCGGGGCACAGTGCAAGAGCCCCTGACTCAGTGGGGAGCCCACACAGACCAGCTTCAGCCACTCGCTGCTGACAGATTCCAAAGAGAGAGAGACTGAGTGGTGGTGAAACAAGAAAATAATGTATTTCAGTGAGACCAACACCAACAAGTCAGCAGACTGACATCTCTAGGACAGTCTCCAAAGTGCTGAAAGTACTCTCGAGTTTATTTTTTTTATTTTTAAAATTTATTTATTTTTAAAATTTATTTATTTTCATTAACATATAATATATTATTTGTTTCATGGGTACAGGTCTGTGATTCATCAGTCTTACACAATTCACCCCTGGGTTTAGATAAGGAAAATGTGGGACAAATGTCAGTGGGTATGTACGCTGGGCAGTAAAGGTCAGGTCGATCACTGTCTTGGGGTTAATTGTACAGGGTCTTGCTGAAGTCAGAGCAGTGGTTTTAATGCTTGAGGGAGTAGTTTGAGTTCCTATCAGGGAATGCCTAAGTTAGGAGATAAGCGGTGAGAAGAACTTAATCAGGAAGCAGAGACTAAGGTCAAAATAGAGGTGGTTGAAGTCCTCTTTCAGAGCAGTGTGATGTTCTGCTTCATTTCGAAGTTTGGGTTAATTTTTCTTTTTTCTTTTTTTTGGGGGGGAGGTTAATTTTTCTTAACCAGAGGAGAGGAGAGCAAGAGTGTGATAACAATGTTCAGGAAATAATAATCTTTTATCTTGAAAAAATTAAAAACTGGTGATTACTAGTACCATATTAAAGGTAAAGGAAATAAAAATCATCAATAATCCTGTTAACTAGAGAATCATCACTATGTTCCTGATCCTTGCAGACTTCTACTATATATTATGTGACTAAAAATATATGCCCCTGTGGGTGTTTGTTTTTAATTTAAAACATTATGCATGGGATCATGCATACAGGTATTTACTAAGCTACTTCTTTCCCTTAGACTTTCCCCTGGAATTTAAGCTCCTTGGAGGAGCTGGGGACCCAGCCTCCTTTGTCAGGTCCCATTGTTGTGTCCTGGGAGGCAGCTCCCAGGTAGGCAGTAACTGAGACTGGGCTCTTGCTTCTATTTGCAGGTTGGCAGCCTCGGTGGTTCCTTCTCTGTGGGGGGATATTATCCTACTATGATTCTCCTGAAGATGCCTGGAAAGGTTGCAAAGGGAGCATCCAAATGGCGGTCTGTGAAATTCAAGGTGAGAAACCAAGACATTTGCAGGTTTTCTTTTTCTTTCTCCCATAAAATAAAAAAGCACTGACCTCTGAGTGTCTCTCTCTGACGTTCTTATGGTAAAAGATACATAGTGTTATGTCCCAAAGAAAGACTTGCAAATAAGACCTAAAACTGCAGCCAGTTTTTACAAGGAGGTTGTTGAAGAAGTAGTTAAAATAAATGAGAGCAATGTACTTTACCACATATCTCGTGCTCATTTTTTAATCACTTGCTCACCTAAAGCCAGCAACTATGTGCAAAGCTTAGTTAGTTTTTTTACTGCAGTGTCAAATGCTTCTGTGTTTAGATCAGGACGCACGCACACACACCTTCTCACCACCGCTACATACTTAAAACAAGCAAACAGATAAAGACCTGCAAATAGCCTTTACTTCTTGGTTTGTGGACGTCTTGAGCCATGCTAAGAAGATGTGGCTCTGAAACAGATTAGAAGAGAAACAGATGAGAACGGTATTTTGCAGCCAGATGGGAGGTGAAGGAGAGTGTGGTTTGCTTATTTCTTCTCCCAAAGGTCTCACACTTTTGTTCCAACTTGTGAAGGACAGCAGAAAAGGAAAAATAATTGTGTTCTTGATTGCTTTCCAGTAAACCCAATTAGATACAGAGGCGCACCCTTTCTTGCTGGCATGCAAACCTTTTTGGACTCAGAGTGCTATTACTTTATACACACAAGCCGAAAGAGAGATTCTGTCTCTATTCTGATAAGGAGAATTGAGTGCTTCTTTTTTAGTCTTGGTGATATGTTGGAGCCACCCAGGGCTTTTCCTCTTCATCAGCAGAGGCATCAAAAAAGAGATAAATAAACTAGGGGAGGTGGTAAGGGCTAGCTAGAATGACTTGTACCAGTTGAGCTCAAGAATTTGGGTGGGGTGGAGGCTACCCAGATAAGGCTCTTCTAGGTTTCTGACCTCCCTCTGCCTTGCTCCCAGTTCATTCTGTAGATAATACACGCATGGACCTGATAATCCCTGGGGAGCAGTATTTCTACCTGAAGGCCAGAAGTGTGGCTGAGAGACAGCGGTGGCTGGTAGCCCTGGGGTCAGCCAAGGCTTGCCTGACTGACAGCAGGACCCAGAAGGAAAAAGGTAAGTATCGATTGTCCTCTGGTCTGGAAACCTTGGGAATCTCCTCTGGCATCTCTGGGTTCTCATATTTGTTATCTTGCTTCTGACCATGTAGCCAGCTTTCTGTATCTTGCAAATGCCATATACCTCTGGAATTTAAACCACAGCTTGTATCTGACTCTTCTCTCTTAGCATATCATACTAGAGAGAGCACAGGCTTTGGAGCCAGACACACCTGGATTCAAATCATGGCTTTGTAAATTACTGGCTTTTTGTCCTTGGCGTAGGTTACTTAATCTCTCTAATCCTCAGCTTCCTCATATTTTAAAAAGAGGTAATAACGAGGGGTAGAAGGGTTGCCATGAGGATTAGTAATGATATGAACCTGTTTAGTACCCAGTCTGGCACAAAGTTGATCTTTGGTAAACAAGCCTCGGAGCAGGGTACTTTCTGCAGTAACACCCCACTCCCCACCCCTTCCCTGAGGTGGGATGGATACTTAATTGTTAGGTTGCTACTGCTTAATGCTCATTAACTCAACATCATTAGGTCTCCAGAGAACCCTGGCACAACTTTCTGTGTGGACGGGGGTGGAGCGGGGAGTGCCAGGGCTTACTGCCTGAGCCCTAGCGTCACCTTCCCAGCCCCTGTCCCCGAAGAGATTGGCAGGGGACAGGGGCCTCTTTCTCATGACAGGTGTGGTAGATGTGCTTAACTCTTCAGGTAGACACAGGAAAATGGCCTCTTCCTTGGTTGTTTTTTAATGCTAAATTGGGAGCATATCCTAGAAACTGTCAGCTTTGACTCAGATCAGGTTGTAACGTGTAGCTTTTTCATGGGGAAAAAAACAGAAGTGATAATGACCAGCTGAGCCCTCAGCGCCGGAGTAGCTGGATCGCTGTGCTAATGAGAGAGCAGCAGGTGCACTGACGGCGTCATTAGTCTTGATGGGTGGCATGCTGGACCAGTTCTGTGAATCAACAAGCCATCTTTTTAGTGATAATTGCACGTTACAGAACAGTTTCAGTTTGGGGTACTGTTAACAGGTAGATGGCTATGACCCCATTTTACAGATAGTGAAAACTGTGCAGCAGATGAACCCTTGACTCTGCTACCAGTTCTGACATGAGGGTTTGAAAAGTATGCTGTATCCTTCTTCCCATACTGGTGATCATTCAGTGTGTTGGCCCAAGAAATAATATAGATTACAAAAGACCAGATATCTCCTTTTTCTGTTTTTCTTGCCCCCATTATCTTCATATTTATTTTATCTGTAACCCATACCATAAACATCTGACTTTACATACAGGTTATAACTTCCACTCTATGGTATGCTCACTAGTCAATTACTTATTCATCCTGATAATTATATTATCATCATTTTGTTATTTAGAGTTTGCTGAAAACACTGAAAACTTGAAAACCAAAATGTCGGAACTAAGACTGTACTGTGACCTCCTTGTTCAGCAAGTGGATAAAACAAAAGAAGTGACCACAACTGGTGTGTCCAATTCTGAGGTAAAATACTACTTGTCTTAGTGACAGGAAAAGTAGCACCAGATGTAGCAACATCAACAGGTATTGATTACTCTCAAACGGTCCTTGACTATTTTAGAACTTACTATTTTTCGGAGGAACAAAGTAACAAAATTCAACAAAGAGAAGAAATGTGTGCATTTCAGCATACAGAAGCATATACTTTTCCTTCATGGAATGAAGTCAGGATTAATTAGTTGGTAACATTTGGAACCTTTAACATTGGTGCCACTAGCCTAGCTGATGTACTAAAATATGTTTTTCCCCACTTTGCATCACTTTATAAATACAGCCTTACCTTTCTAGCACAGCTACTTCTATAGGTGTGGCTACTAACATATCAACATACCAACATCATGTATATCAATAATGTGTACCTGTCATCTTTGATGAGATTATAACAAGATTTTATTTTATTTACTTATTTATTTTTTAAGTAAGTTCTATACCCAACATGGAGCTTGAACTCACCACCCAGAGATCAAGAATTGCATGCTGGGGCGCCTGGGTGGCTCAGTGGGTTAAAGCCTCTGCCTTCAGCTCAGGTCATGATCCAGGGTCCTGGGATCGAGCCCCACATCAGGCTCTCTGCTCAGCAGGGAGCCTGCTTCCTCCTCTCTCTCTGCCTGCCTCTCTGCCTACTTGTGATCTCTGTCTGTCAAATAAATAAGTAAAATCTTAAAAAAAAAAAAAAAATTGCATGCTCTATGGACTAAGCCAGCCAGGCACCCCTGTAAAAGGGTTTTATTGGTGACATAGTAACTGTGCTTTAGTATAGACTAGAGCTTTCAAAGATGGAGACACAGCTTTTTTTTCTGCCCATTGTCAGTAAGGATTACAATTTTTAATGTTTATTTATAAAGTTGTCATTTACTCATCCTAATGTATTAAAAGATCTATCTGGTGTTAGGCTGTGTGTTGAATGGTTCGGTACTACCCAGGGAGGTCTCTCTCTACTCTCAGAGTAGTTATAATCTGAACAACAATGCTTACAAAATGAAGAATTGGTAGAGTCTAGTTAATGGTTTTAGTAGAAGAATATTATGCTGCTAATGGTATATATGCTTTCAGATTTTCTTGTAAGGGTGATTTAACTCACTTTCATTCACTTCCTTTTGGGCTTTCTTAGTATTTCTTGTACACAACAGGCTACAACTGCCTGTTGTGTACAAGACAGTGTGGTCGGAGGCAGGAGGAGAGGGATACCAAAAAAACCTTTCAGTCCTGCTCTTGGGATGCTTATAGTTCAGAGCAGTGATTCTCAGCCCAGAGCAGTTTTGCCCCTTAGGAGAAATTTGCAGCATTTGGAGACATATTGTTGGTCAACACGACTGAAGGAGTGCTCTTGGCATCTAGTGTAGGGAGGCTAGGATGCTGCTTCACATCCTGCAGTGGGCAGGAGAGCTCCCCCACCAACTTCCCCCACTCCGAAAATTAGCCCCCCCATGTCAGTCATATCACAGTAGAGCCCTGGCCTAACAGGGAAGGGAAAATGGGAACATAGCAATTTTTTAAAATTAACATATTATGTATTATTTGCTTCAGGGGTACAGGTCTGTGAATCATCAGTCTTACACAATTCACAGCACTCACCATAGCACATACCCTCCCCAGTGTCCATAACCCTATTTCTACCCCCCCAACACCCTAGCAACCCTCAATTTGTTTCCTGAGATTAAGAATCTCTTATGGTTCATCTCCCTCTCTGATTTCATCTTGTCTCATTTTTCCCTGCTTTCCCCTATGGTCCTCTGTCTTGTTTCTCAAATTCCTCATATCAGTGAGATCATATGATAATTGTCTCTCTCTGATTGACTTATTTCACTTAGCATAAATACCCTGTAGTTCCATCCATGTCATTGCAGATGGCAATATTTCATTTTTTGATGGCTGCATAGTATTCCATTGTATGTATGTATGTTATGTATATATCTATATATATACACACACACACGCATACATACATACATACATATTACATCTTCTTTATCCATTCATCTGTTGATGGACATCTAGGTTCTTTCCATAGTTTGACTATTGTGGACATTGTTGCTACAAACATTCGGGTGCACGTGCCCCTTCAGGTCAGTACAATTGTATCTTTAGAGTAAATACCCAATAGTGCAATTGCTGGGTCATAGGGTAGTTCTATTTTCAACTTTTTGAGGAACCTCCATACTGTTTGCTGATGTGAGGCTTAGCATGAACAACTCCATCTTGGGCCCAGTCTTGTTTCATTTATACCATTAAGATGTGTTTACTGTACTCTGTAGTCAGGGTGTGACCTCAGTTTCCTGAACAACTTATTAATATCAATATTCAGAGGAAAAACACCCTGAACAAGTAAAATAATGGGAGAAAAGGTGATTAGATACTCAAAAAGAATTCCAGTTGTTAAAAGCTCTTTAAGTCATCTGTACCAAAAGCCAAAAACCCATTCTGAAAGTAAATAATGAATGACTTATGGTTTCTAATTCTTTTATTCTAGAACCTCGTTTTTACTCAGGCAACGGGAGACATTTTTCCATTGATTCCACTGATCTTTGGTCCATGTGATTCCCTATTTCATGTTAGTAGATAAAGTGGACTCAATATTTTCCTTTTGTAAATTATGTATGTATTTGTCCAGCAAAATAGCTGGGTACATTATTACTACATTGTGGATAAAAACCTCTACAGACATTCCGCCATCAGGCTCTTTCTTTTTTGGCAAGGTAAAGGAGTCTTTCTCTCTTGTTTCATAGGAAGGAATCGATGTGGGAACTCTGCTGAAATCAACCTGCAATACTTTTCTAAAGACTTTGGAAGAATGCATGCAGATAGCAAACGCAGCCTTCACCTCTGAGCTCCTCTATCGCACTCCCCCAGGTTCACCACAGCTGGCCGTGCTCAAGTCCAACAAGGTAAAGCCAGCTCAGCTTGGCAGCAGCAGGACATAATGAAAAGCTTAGAAGTTAAAAAGTGATGTAAGGAACCATGTTAATCATCACTCTTTGGTGACTGAGAAAGACGTTTTTTTAGTGACCTTCCCTTGCTGTCCACTTACAAATTTCTGCCCTCAGTCCTCCATATCCATTAATTTTTAGCAGTTTTATCACCTAAACCTGTCTTTGATGTAGCTAGTCTCTTTTCATCCTCCTTGTCCAGTGAATCTTGCCAAGATTTGTGGTGACCTTCTAACTAGTTACTTTCAGCCTAACCCTTCAAGGCAGCCAATGGTATTTCTGTTCATGAAGTATAAACTGGACCACTTTACCTAAACCTCTCAGTGCCTCCCTCATTGCCAAAGGTTAATGTCAAAACTTCCAGACCCCCAGCCTCTTACTCTGTCATTACCTGGCTTAACATACTAACTGCATATAGCTCCCCTGACATCTTCACATCATTTCCCAGTGCCAAGCATGCTGTTCTCATTTATCTTCCCCTCATTAGCATTTCCCCATCCTTCAATATTTAATTTCCCCTCCCTGTATCCCTAAGTTGGGCTAGGAACACCTCTATGCATACCCCTATTTTAGGGTTATTCTTATTGAAATTACCTTAAGGGTAGGAACCTCCATACTGTTTATCTTTATACTTTTAGTGTTTGAGACAATGCATCATCATCTTCAATGAATATAACTAAAATTATGAGAAAGTCAACCACCAGGGGTTTGGCTATAGCAATTAGATCCTTCAGAAGAGCCATCTTCCTTTTCCTTAGAAGTGTGGGTACACTTACTGGAAAAAATACAAAGGACTGGTTGAGATTAATGACTCCCTTCTTTTGGGAGAAATTGTTCCTGTTGAGTCGGGCAGTTATATTATGGTCATATTTACCACTTTGATATATGATGAAACTCTAAATATGCTCTGTTGAAGTTTAACACGAAGCTTTCTTTTTTTTCTTTTTTTTTTTTTTTTGCTTCTTTTAAAGATGAAACATCCTATTATACCGATTCATAATTCATTGGAAAGGTACAGTAACTCTTTTGGTTTTTCTTCTTTCTAAAAACAAATAATTTTTTATTGTTTGTTTAAAAAAAATATTTTGATCATGATTTGAGATAATACCAGAAGGAAACAGTATCTGATTTCCCTCTTGGAGGTGATCTTGAAGCAATGCAGACCTTTCACTCAGCACAGACTACCTGGGAAGATGTTTGCATTTTCCCCCAGGTATAGATGGGCCTGCCCACCACTGTAGTAACTTTTAATTGCTCTAGTGTGCTAAGGGTTGGGGCCTCTTCTTTTGTGGAGGAGCCGGACATCGACTTAAATGTGCTTTTATCCAGAAAAGACAGTACGATTTTGTTTTATTTAAAAATAAAAATGTTAGGTAGCCTTACAGTTTAAAAAAGAACAACTTAATATCAAAATCTAAACTAGTTCTTCCTCTAATTGCTCCTTCAGTTTTAGAAAAAAGTACACATTTACATAGTTGTGTTCCTATTATTTGGGGTCTTTATTCAGTTAGTATTTTATATAACCATTCCTATATTTTGACATACTCCATATATTTGTCCTTTCAAATTATTATTTAATGTTTCAACTCTCTTTGTATATTATTGTTTGCTTTAGTATAAGGATTGTTCCAGTTTGGTTAACATTTTTACTTTGTTCTAAATATTTCTACTAGAAAAAATTGTAGACTTTTTTCTCATGATATTTCCTTAATAAACACCTACATTTTAAATTGCTAAGTTGAAATATGGCATTTCTTTAGGGAAAAAATGCTTTTCCTGGAGTCACCATAGAGCTTGGATCCTTTCCCTTTGTTTTTATTAGGCGAAAATATTTTTGTTCTAATTTGGTTGGATCTAATCACTTATAAGATGTTGTGATTATTCCTTCAACAGAATTAGCTGTTCCACTTGCATGTTAAAAAAGCCTTTTCTGTTACCCTGAAGAGCAACAGATCCTCAGGAGGTATCCTGTGTCCTCCTGGGCTTTTTCTGTCAGACATACTTGGTGGGGAGTATCCTCCCCTGACCACAGCATGTAGCTTCTAGACAGTTAACTGGTAGGCAAACACATAGGAGTGGCTAGTGAGTTTGAGAGCTGAAGAGAGAGAAACACTTCCCAGGGAGAAGCTGAGGAAAGTGAGAAAAGTGTTAAATGTGTCCATGTAGAAAGCTGATTGAAAACCAAAGAACTGTCAATGACTATTTCCTGTTGCTGGTGGGGAGCAGGAAGTCTGAGTCACCTGAGGGTCCATGAGAAGCCAAGAATGGCTCTTTGATTGCAGAATCTCAGTTGGGAGACGGGCCTGCTCTCACCATAGACAGATACGTCTGGGAGGCAGAAGGCTGAGAGGTTTGACTGATGCAACAATACTGGTTTTTAATCACTCTTAGAAGGAGTTGATGCTTGTGAACCCCTCCAGCCTTTCTCAGAGTAAGCTCTACGTAGGCAATCTATGTAAGATGAAATAATTGGACTTTTTGGTTTTTCTCCTTATAAAAAATTTTCAGGCAAATGGAGTTGAACAGTTGTGAAAATGGATCTTTACATATGGAAATAAATGCTGATGAAGAAATCCTAATGAAAAATAAAAGCTCCTTATATTTAAAACCTGCAGAGATAGATTGCAGCATATCAAGTGAAGAAAATACAGATGATAATATAACAGGTAAAAATAGAAGTGAGGTCCGAAGCAAGCGATTAAACTTAAACCATTGATCTTGGGAGTTTGATTGTTTATCCATGATGTGACACTTGACAGGGATTGGCCTCAAGAGGGTATACTAGTAGATCCTAAGGCAGACATTAGCTTGATAACACGGGTCACTTGACCACGTTGTGCCATCCCATCCAACCCAGTGTTGAAAAGGCAGAATGAGGAGGGTTTTTCCCGACTCACTGTTCTTATCTGTGATGTCTGTGTGCTGACTTTGTAGAAAATATGAGCGCTTCATTGGCCTTCTACTCTAAGTCTCAAGATCCTTTGAACGTAAACTATGATGTCAGACTTAACAGAGTACAAAGGTGTGTCAGTTTAGGTTGCTCTGCTGGTTTCTAGTGAGGCCAGAGGATGGCAGAATTCACCAGCCACCGGTCAGGTTTTCAACCAGCCTTCTCTGTCTGTCAAGCCAGAGTCCCACATTTCAGGTAATAGCTTGTGGTTGAAAATGCCACCCTTTCAAATTTGCTTATTCCATTGGCTCTAACCACTAAAACCCGATTCAGATCAGTCCAAGACAACCATAGTAAGCTTTTATTTATGTTTAAGTGTTTAATAAATATTTTGAAAATAAAATTTTAAACAAGTTTCTTGCTCATCTCCCCTGAAATAAAAGACCCTGTTTTTTCCATATGAGTTGTGGGAAAAGAAGATGCATTTCATAGCTGTTAATCTGAGGCAAGGAGTCTCATCCCTTGAGTAAATAATAAAGATAGGAGAATTTCTGTGGAAACAGTACTGTTATTTGACCAATAATCTTACTTTTAGGAATTTGTCTCCGGGGACTAGTCAAGTTAAGGACAAATATCTGTGGACAGGGATATTCTTTATGACATTACAATTGATTCTAATTATTCGTGATTATGTTCTATAAAGTTACTATAGACACTGAATTAGCAAATACTGAACCATTGCTTCTAGCGGAAAAACAGAGTTTGGTTCCTACAAACCGCTGTTCACAATTTGGTCAACTTATCAGTATATAGACTTGTTCTATGTGTGTTTCTGTTTAAAGATACCTTATTTAGTATATATTGTTGATTCATTAACATTGATCCCATGGCCAATGGTACTATAACTTGTGCCTGAATGAAGTATACCTGACACATGTATTTTCTCTATAAGGCACATCACAGCCTTCTTACACTTAGAAAGAGTAGACATGGGGTACCTGTGTGGCTCAGTCATTAAGCATCTGCCTTCGGCTCAGGTCATGATCCCAGGGTCCTGGGGTTGAGCCCCACATTGGGCTCCCTGCTCGGCAGGAAGCCTGCTTCTCCCTCTCCCACTCCCCCTGCTTATGTTCCCTCTCTCCGTGTCTCTCTCTATCAAATAAATAAATAAAATCTTGAAAAAAAAAAAAAGAAAGAAACGTGAGACAGCACTACACTTGAAGGCACCTGTAAACAGCAAAATCAATAACAAAATGCACAAAGCATGACCCTACATAAACACAGTTGTGTATAGTATAAGAACCAAGGAAGAAGGCAGATTGTTACCTTGTTTGACCTTAGTTGGAAGCATGTATGTCGGGCGACTCAAATGTTCACCATCTACACATGTATAGAAATGACTGCAAACGTGCCACAAGCATTGTTTTTTAGGATTACAAATAAAATATTATGAGAAGGCAAATTCACAAATACAGAATATGCTGATAATGAAGATCGATTGTATAACACTAAATTTTTAGAAACCACCTAAGTGCCCTCCACATTAGCTTGATGCAATATATATGGTCATTAAAATCACATTTTAAAAGTATTGAATGATAATGAGAATATTCCTGATAAACTGTTGAGTGAAAACAATCAGGACATAAACCTACATATATTTAAACCCAATTTTGTTTGTGTGTATATAGTATTTCACTGATTTTTTTTTTTAAGATTTTATTTATTTGACAGACAGAGATCACAAGTAGGTAGAGAGGCAGGCAGAGAGAGAGAGGAAGGGAAGCAGGCACCCTGCTGAGCAGAGAGCCCAATGCGGGGCTCCATCCCAGGACCCCCGGGATCATGACCTGAGCCGAAGGCAGCGGCTTTAACCCACTGAGCCACCCAGGCGCCCTGATTTTTATTTCTGTAAGCTTTTCTGTGTTTTAGAAATATTCAACAAGGAATATATATTAATTTTATAATATATAAATAGTAGTTTAGTAATAAGTATTTTCTATGTGCAGTCCAAGGTGAGATCATGAAGGAAGAAGGAGAGGACAGTCTGGCGAATCATGATAGCAGCTTAGCACAGCCTGCGTCAAACTCCTCCAGTAGCTCTCCAGAATCCCACTGGGAAGAAGGCCAAGAAATCATCCCAACTTTTTTTAGTACCATGAATACCAGGTATTTGATACTTTCTAAAATCAGTGACAATTGGATACCAGCTTCCCTTCTAGAAAATCAGTGTGGTGTTCCTTTCAGGTGATGGCATAGTCTAACAGAACAGAGGTTGGTATCTGCTTTACCTTTCTGAAGCAGTGAGGAATTGGATTGTGAGACTATACCCTGAACACATTGTAGCTTGCTTTGGTAGATTATCTCTGGAAAATGATTTTATTGGACCATATTATAGTAGAAGAACAATCACTGAAATCAGGCCAAATGACTTGCTCTCCAGATGGGCAACTGTTTTCATGACTACCTCTGAAATGCAGAGAGTATTAATGTTATATTTTTGATCTTTCTCCTTTTGTATCACCAAATTGTTTAGCTTTAGTGACATTGAACTTCTGGAAGACAGTGGCATTCCCACAGAAGCATTCTTGGAGTCATGTTATGCTGTGGTTCCAGTATTAGGTAAGATTATTGCATTTGTCTTAAATTCATTAGTCTGTAGAATCTGTCCCACTGCTGTTATTTTGTAGCAGAAATATCCTGAACTATATATAGAGTGAAATGACCCTTCTTGGCTACCTCTCCATATCACTAGCCACATGTAGTTAAAACTGTTTGGCTTTGAGCATTATTGCATGTTTGCTTTTTATTCCTACCAATAATTAAGTATTGGCCACAGAGTAGTATAAGGAAAAAAGGGAATTTTGTTTTCGAGAAATTATACTTTTAAAAAAAGTAGTTGCGGAACAGACCTTCAAATCCATTAGTATGATACCATTAAAACGTTTTTTCAAAGGTTTAAAAATTATACGTATAAATTTAAGTTCAAATATAGAGTCAGTAGAACCAGGCATCACTAATGTGTTCAAATTTGTTTTATGACCTACTTAGCTATGCATCTTTTTTTAATTCATTTTTTTGAAATTTTACATATCTTTTTTTTGAAATTGAGATATAACTTACGTAGAACTTAAGTATTATGATTCAGTAATGTTTGATAAACACATGTACCGCCATGTAATCCATATCCCTATCAAGATATAAAATGTTTTCATCACACCAGAATGTTCCCTGTGCCAGTCAACCCGCAACTATCACCCAGCCCAAGGCAACTATTTTACTGATTTCTGTCACCATAGATTAGTTTTGCCTTTTCTAAAGTCTCATATAAGAGAATCATAATCGTACTATCTACTTTTTTTCATCCGTGTTTTTCTCTCAGTGTAATGTTTTCATCCTTATTGTTACATGTATCTGTAGTTCATTCCTTTTTATTGCAGAATAGTATTCTATTAAATGAACGTGTAATTTGTTTATTCATTCTTCTATTGATGAATGGACATTTGGGTAGTTTCTTATTTGGGCTATTACCAGTGAAATTGCTCTGAGTATATTTGTGTCTGTGGCATAATTTTTCATATATTGAGTAAATACCTAGGAGTAGAATTGCCAATTCATTGGGTTCATCTGTTTCACTTTATAAAAAGTGGTTACACAGTCATACAGTCCCAACAGCAATGTATGACTATTCTGGTTGCTTCTTATCTGCACTAACACTTGGTGGTATTGAGGTTTTGGGTCTGGCTGTTCCTCTGAGTGTTTAGCGGTATCATTGCGGTTTTAACTTCTGTTGGGGAGGAAGAAATTTACTTTCTCCTCAGGGTCCTCTGGCTGGACCAAGAATCATTTTGACATGAGACAGAATAACAGGGGAAAATCAAATTTAACTCCATACATATGGAGAATCCACACAGACATGAAATTACAAAGACAGGGAACATGAGGCTTATATGACTTCCTGCCCAAAGGAAAGAGTTAGGGCCCTGAGGGTGGAGGTACAAAGGGGGAGGAAAACCATTAGGAAGATAAGAGGAAATGGTTGGAAAATGAAGGCTGCCCTGTTATGCACATAAGTTTCTTAAGTAAAGAGAAATCTGTTAATTGCATTCTTCCTGGGACAGGCTTTCCTTTCTAATGTAAATTTAAGCAGTCAAAGGGAAGGTAAAGAATTTTTCCTGAATCTGCTGGGATTTGATTGCTGTTAACTCAAAATAATCTTCATGTTCAAGTGGCCTACCTTGGGGTGCCCTTGGTCTCCACACTTTCTCAGTGACTAATGATGTTGAACACTTCTTAATGTAATTATCGGCCATTGCTATCTCCCTCATTGTGAAGTCTTTTCAAATCTTTAATCCATTTTTTCAAGTTGGTTAGTGTTCTTTGTATTGAGTTGTAAGCATTCACTATATATTCTCAAAAGCATTCCATTTTAGACATATGCATTGTGAATATTTTCCCCAAGCTATGACTTTCTTTGCTTAATGTCTTTGAAGAGCAGCTTTTCATTTTCATGAAATCCATATATCTATTTTCTTTCTTTTATAGTTAGTACTTTTGGTGCCCTAAGAAATCTGTGTTTACACCCAAGGTCATGAAGATATTCTCATGTGTTTTCTGTTCCCTTTAGTCTTGATTTTATGTTTACATTTATACATCTTAGAATTAATTTTTATATATGGTGTGAGGTAAGGGTTGAGATTTTTTTTTTCCCTTATGCTATCTGGTTGTTCAGAAACCATTTCTTTAAATGAAAATATTTTCCCTTTTATATTATTTTGGCAGCTTTGTTGAAAATCAGTGGATCTTTTAGGTGTGGGTCTGTTTCTGGACTGTGTTTCCTGTCCCAGTGGTCTGCTTAATTTTTTCATGATAATACTTACATTGTCTTAGTGTGCCATTATAAAAAAGCTTGAAATCAGATAATGTAAGTCTTCCAATAATGTTGTTCTTTTTCAAGATTTTGGCAGTTGTTGGTCCTTTACATGTCCATATAAATTTTAGCTAATTTCTACTTAAAAAATATTGGGATTTTGATTAAGATTATATTGAATCGGTAAACCAATTAGGAGGAAGTTTACATCTTGAACAATTTTGAGTCTTCTAATCCCAAAGCATGCTGTATCTCTCCATTTACCTATGTCTTCTTTATTTTCAGTGTTTTTGTATAGTTCTTGGTGTAGAGATTGATGTAGGAAAGATGTTAGGGTTTGAAGCCTATGCCCAAGAATGAATTCTTGAGATGTCTTTGGTGGTTTTATTAAAGCACAGGGACAGAACCTGTGGGCAGAAAGAGCTGCAGTGGGGTCATGAAAAGTGGCCCATTATATACTTTCAAGTTGGGAGGGGATTAGGGATAGCGTAAATCTCAAAGGAATTTTGGAAGCAAGGTTTCCAGAACCTTGAGGGGGCTAGCTGTTCTTGGGAAAATGTCATTTATTACCATCTAATAAAACCTTAGCCATGAGACCCTTCAGATGTATACTGATGGGCCATATGCTTGGGGGATGACTGCCAACATGGATCTTGGGGACTTAAAGATAAAGGAAGTTTCCAAAGGAAATTTTATTTTTTAAAATAGACTTACAGGATCCTGTTGGGGTGGAGTGGGGTGGTGGGGTGAGGTGGGGGCAGATTCTGGCTAGGATTGCCTTTTGCCCTTAGCAAAGTATTAATATGGAGGCCGAGGCCGATGAGTCCCTAGAGGACTGTCATTCAGCCTGTTTCAAGGACTTTCAGTGGGCTCTAGGTAGTAAGGATATTTAATAATTTTTCTTCTGCCTTTGTTTCCCGTACCAGAGGTCATACACAATTTTTGTTAGGGATACATTTTAGAGTCTTAGAATTCTTGATGCTATGTAAAGAATATGTATTTTTCCAATTGTTTGTTGATAGCATACAGATAGAGCTGACTTTTGTGTTTGAGTAGTTTTTTATAATCATGAGTGAGTTAATTTCATGAAATACGTTTTCAGCATTATTGAAATTGTGGGTTTTTTCCCTGTACTTTTTTAAAAAAAATTTTTATAAACATATAATGTATTACTAGCCCCAGGGGTACAGGTCTGTGAATTGCCAGGTTTACACACTTCACAGCACTCACCATAGCACATACCCTCCCCAATGTCCATAGTCCCACCACCCTCTTCCTGTACTTTTGTGTATAGTGAATTAGATTGAATGAATTTACATCTGTTATCTTGCTATTTGTTTCTACCATCTTGCTATTTATTTTCTATTTGTCGTATCTGTTCTTTGTTCCTTTTTTATTTTTCTTAAATTCTAGCCATTTAATCAATTATTTTTTATTCTATTTTATTTCCTGTTTTAGGTTTTTAGCTACCTATATTTGTTCCTACCTCCACCCCTGCCTTTTTTTCCCAATCAATCAAGTATTGTTTAGAATTCCATTATTTTTTCTCTTCTGGCTTTTTAGCTATACCGCTTTGCTATATTTTTAGTCGTTCTTGTCCCACAGAAATATTTGAACATATGTGAATTTAAATTTTTGAACATACATGAATTTAAGTTTTCTAGCAGGCCCATCAAATAGTAAAATAAAGCAGATAAAACTATTTTTTAAACTAATTTCAATAATACATTTTATATGACCTAATATAGCCAAAATATTATTTCAATATATAATCAGTATAAGGGAATCGTTAATGAGATAGCTTGCATTCTTTTTTTTTTTTTAAGATTTTATTTATTTATTTGACAGAGAGAAAGATCACAAGTAGGCAGAAAGGCAGGCAGAGAGAGAGAGGGAAGCAGGCTCCCTGCTGAGCAGAGAGCCTGATGTGGGGCTCTATCCCAGGACCCTGAGATCATGACCTGAGCCAAAGGCAGAGGCTTAACCCACTGAGCCACCAGGCGCCCCTGCATTCTTTTTTTGATACTGAGTCTTTGAAATCTAGTATTTTGTGATGACCATATCTTAGAAGTCTTTGAAACTTATGTTTGGAAAATGATTTAAAAATAAAAAATAACAGTTTTGGGGAGAAAAACATGCTAAATTTTTTGTTATTATAAAAATATTTGCCACTTAGGGACACCTGGGTGGCTCAGTCGGTTAAGCGGCTGCCTTCGGCTCAGGTCATGATCCCAGAGTCCTGGAATCGAGTCCCGCATCAGGTTACTTTCTCAGCAGGGAGCCTGCTTCTCTCTCTGCCTCTGTCTGCCACTCTGCCTGCTTGGCTTGCTCACTCTCTCTCTCTGACAAATAAATAAATAAATCTTTTAAAATATATGTATATTTGCCACTTAAGAAAATTGCTTTTTCAAAGATGTTTTCAATCTTTTCTTCTAGACAAACTTGGCCCTACGGTGTTTGCTCCTGTTAAAATGGATCTTGTTGGAAATATCAAGGTGAATATACTAGCATGTCTCTATGGAGACCATACATTTGGAGGGAGAAGTGCATGAAACCTCATTCAGAAACACTTGCGATTGTTGAGTTTATAGTCAAGATGAAAAGTATAGGTCAGCTGTGAGAAGAGTTCTGAGGCAGAAAAAAATGCTTTAAAACCAGTATTTTAAAGCCTTGAGACTTTAATTCTGGCTTAAGCCTCATAAAAATTCTCCAACAAGAACACATTACCTTGAAAACATAAGGAAAAAAGTAATAGAGACTTAATTTATTTTGATTTCTTAAAGCCTGCTTGACAAGCTTATCAGTCTCAATACTACACTGATTTACTTGATAGCTTTAGCATTTTTAACGTAGATCGTTTCCCTGCTTTTCCTGCAGAAAGTAAATCAGAAGTACATAACCAACAAGGAAGAGTTCACCACCCTCCAGAAGATAGTGCTGCATGAAGTGGAGGCTGACGTAGCCCAGGTTAGGAACTCAGCTACAGAAGCCCTCTTGTGGCTGAAGAGGTGAGGCCGCTGGGATGGGGCCACAGTTGAAATCCAGCTCAGTCGAAATGCTACCAGCAAAAAAAGTGTTATGTTATACAAAGAGCACTTCGAGTGGAGGATCCAACCCAGTAACCTTTTCTAGAAGGCCTGATGAATAGAACTCCGACTCTTTCTTTTCCTCCCTCCCGATGAACTTCGCTAATATAACAGTATATGTAACATAGGAATCCTAAAGGATGATAGAATTGACGGGTTCTCTTTAAATCAGTAGATCACAGACTTTGATAGCATCCGATCACCTGAAGGGCTTTCTTAAGAATACAGATTGCCCGGGGCGCCTGGGTGGCCCAGTGGGTTAAAACCGCTGCCTTCGGCTCTGGTCACGATCCCAGAGTCGTGGCATTGAGCCCCGCATCGGGCTCTCTGCTCAGCGGGGAGCCTGCTTCCCCCTCTCTCTCTGCCTGCCTCTCTGCCTGCTTGTCATCTCTGTCTGTCAAATAAATAAAATCTTAGGGGAAAAAAAAGAATACAGATTGCTCCACTCCAGACTCAGACTTTCTGACTCAGTAAGTCTGGAGTGGGACCCCAGAACTAGCACTTCCAGCAAGTTCCCACTGGTCCCAGGACCACTTTTTGGAAACCACTGTTTAGGTAGATCAGATGAGAAAGGTGTAGAGTAAACTAAAAGGAAATGACAGGGAAGAAAGGCAGAAAAGACTTCCATGTGACTTGACCTGTTTGCTGCTATATTCGAGATATTGAGGAAGACACTGATGTCTGCCATTTCTTTATACCCATTCAATATAAGTGAACTTTGAAAATATTTCTTCCTCTTTTTTGTTTTAGAGGTCTCAAATTTTTGAAGGGATTTTTGACAGAAGTGAAAAACGGAGAAAAGGATATCCAGACAGCCTTGAGTAAGTGTCCTTTACATTTTGATGATTCCATTGAATAGAATGTGGAATGGAGACCCCTAAAGGAGGAGGCGGGGTATAGGGGAAAATTTCTGCTTTTCTGAAGTGGATTTTGTTTCTTTTCTATTTCATTATTATTGTTTGTTTCTTATATGCTCCGTTAAAAAAAAAAAAAAATCTCATGAGATTGTGACCTCGTAATGTAGATCTAATTTTTAAAAATCAGTATATCTTGAAGAAGAGCAAAATTAATGGACAGCCATCTCTTAATAGGAAAGCCTAACATTTTTAAGAAGTGAGCTCTTCCTAAATTAATCTTCAGATTCAGTGCAGTTCTCCGAAATCAATGTCCCAAGAGAAGCTAGTTTTAGAGACCTTAACAGGGAGGGTTTGGGGAACCCTGGGAATTTGCTCTGGAGTGAGATAAAGGGGGGGTTCATGGTCGTCATCATCATATACTCCTCAAATGCCTCATGTTTGTAGTAGTAGAGCTGAGACCAGGATGAAGGCCTTGGTCAGAGGTCATCCTGTATCTCTAGCATCTTATAATGTAGGGACTGAAACCCTGTAAGGTGCTCAGTAAACACTGGTGTGGATAGGTATCTGGATCTGTCAGATCAGTTTTGGAAAACATTAGCTTGGGAACATCCTCATAGTGCTCTTGACAGAATGGCTGAATTCTCACTCTTCATCTAGAAGAAATTCTCCCAACATGGGCCTTGAGGCATGACGGGTAAGGAGTGGGTATTGAAATTCCATATTACTTTGAAGCCCTATATTATTGTGATGTAGAGAAGCACATGGTCAAGCTCTAAATAGCCATGATTATAAATAATGAAATGAATGAATTAGATGCTTCTGTTGTGGAAAGGGAGCCAGTATTCACAACGGCATTTTGTTGGTTCCTTCTGTTAATCTTCCCTCTGAGCCATGAGTCCTGAGGGATTCTGCCCTCATGTGACTTTCTCAGGCCTTCCTATCTAGAAACTTGCCAGTATGCTGTGAAACAATAAAAACTGTTTTTTTCTATAACACTTTATGAAGGATTTAGACAACTTAATCCTTAGGTCAGTCCATTTTTGCAGATTAGGTATCCAAAATTCATAGAGATTAAAGTACATGCTAAGGCCACAAAAGATCTGAAGCAGAGTCACTTTGAGACCCCTGCCTCAAAACTCCTCATTTTGAGGCCCCAGGGCAGCTCAGTCGGTTAAGTGTCTGCCTTCAGCTCAATGGGACTGAGCCCCACATCAGACTCTCTGCTCAGCGAGAAATCTGCTTCTCCTTCTCGCTGCTGCTCCACCTGTTTGCCTGATTATGCTCTCACAGTCTCTCTCTTTCTGTGAAATAAATAGACTCTTAAAAAAAAAGTCCTCATTTCCCACAAAAGATCTTCTCCACCGTCCCTGGGCTGTGTATTTTTTGGACTTCTCATACATCCCTGAATTTCTAGGACAGTCTGTTGTATTCTTCCCACATGTCCTGATTTCAGTACTCAAAGTATTTTCACTGTAACTATTCATGCCCCTAATCAGTATCATGGAACTGTATGATTTGTGGACTGATTAAGATCTTGGGCTCTCTGGATTCCACCATTGATAGCATTGTGCCCTTAGGCAACTTGCTTACCCTTTCTGTTTCCTGGTTTCCTCATCTACACAATGGGAATGATGATACCATTTTCCTAAAACATGGTTGTAAAGATTAAATAGGTTCATGCACATTAAAAGATTAGTAAAGTCGTGCATAATAAATACTTCATAGAAGTTAGCTTCTCTTGTTTATATTTTCATCATCCTGACATAAGAAGTTGATAACCGGTCAGAAAATGGAGCTTACTGGTCCCAAATCAGAAATGAGAAGTTTACAAAGCTCTGGTGCCAAGCCAGACATTTCTCTCCATACTAAGTTCTTAGAGTGGAAATTTCACACGGGGAGGAAGGCTTCTCTACCCCCAAGGAAATACAGAAGCTGTGGGACTCAGCAGTGTGTCTAGTGGGCTCCACCCATCACATGATGCTGCTGCTCTGTTACGGCTGTCTGTGAGGGCCCAGGCTGGCTGTGACTGCTGACCTCCTTGACCCCTCCCCGGAGTGGAGGCAGAATAGAACCAGCTGCTTACTGGACACACAAGTGAAAAAGGAAAGCTTATCCCTGAAGGTAGGGAGGAAATTAAGGATATCCCCTTTCTGGAGTAGCTCTGCTCCTAATTCTGTTCTTTTTCTTACCTTCTTTTTGCTTGATTTGGAGTCTGGACCCTTCTGAGGAGAGAGGAGACTGTAAGGGGAGATGCTACTTTGAAATCACAGTAAGCGCAGTCAGTCTCAGCTTTTCCTTCTCTCTTCCCCCTTCAGCACTATTTTCAATGGGAGGAAACGGGGGCTATAAACTTGAGATTTTCATCCTGATGTTTAGGATTATTTCAGAAGTTTTCATGAATTAAATCATAGTTTTGCTTGTAGGGGTCCCGAGTTTCCTGCTGCTGTTCAGTGTAGAGAAAAGTTCTCCTAACCACCCACCCTCCCCTCCAGTTGTAGACACAACAAGCTCTGTGCAAACAAATACAGCTTTATAAGAAATATTTATTTACACATTAACTACTTAAAGCCCATAGGCTCTTTGATGTAGATGTCTCTGGGTCAGCAGCTTTTCTTCTCGTTTTGAAATCGTAGTCTTTATAAGTAGAACTGATACCTTGTCTAAAATGAGGGAGTTTAGGAATGTAGGTAAAAGAAAGGGTTTATACCTATATTTATAAAGGCAAAAAGCTTGCATGTTTTAGGTTCTAAAATTGAATTTGAGTTACTATAATAGCAGCTACCCTTTATATAGTCCAGTGTAGGAATGACACTAGTTTTTGAGTGACATTTCATTTAATCTTCCAAATACTCCTTTTGACAGTGAGTAAACTGAGGTCTAGAGAGGATAAATACCTTCCTTATATCTCAAGAACAGTGGTTCTCAAAATGGTCCGAGGAGAACCTCTTCATTACCTGCAGGCTTACTAGAAATAGAGGCTGCCAGGCCCCACCTAGCACCGGAGGCTAAAAACTCCCTGGAGATGGGGCACAGCATCCGCGTTAGCAAGTCCTTTAGGTGATTTTAATCCAGGTCAAGGTTTGGGACCCAACCAATAGAGCTAGGATGTTGAAGCCAACCTGTCACTGGGCTACATTTTGATTATTTGGGAATTTTGATGCTTCTGAGTGATTTATGAATAAACTGGAATAAAAGCACTGAGATTAGTGCCACAGCACCAGTTAATTTTGCCTCCTTTTCATGATAATTAGCTAGTTCTCCAGTGACAAAATTTTTTTCTAACTTAGAAACAAGATAATAGGGATAAATTAAGGATAAAACTTGACTAGCTCTCCCAAATTTGGAAATACGGCTTAAGAAAGGTTTTGAGGTACATGTTCATAAAACTTATATATTATCTTAGTGGCCTTGAAAATGAGAGGTGATATATAAAAATTCTTAAATGAGGGGCACCTGGGTGGCTCAGTGGGTTAAAGCCTCTACCTTCGGCTCAGGTCATGATCCCAGGGTTCTGGGATCGAACCCCGCATCAGGCTCTCTGCTCAGTGGGGAGCCTGCTTCTTCTTCTCTCTGCCTGCCTCTCCACCTACTTGTGATCTATGTCAAATAAATAAATAAAATCTTAAAAAAAAATCCTAAATGACACAATGGAAACCTTGACATCTATTAACTCTCTGGAGAGTATAGGTTTATTCATTGTATTACTGAAGTTCTGTGACCTAGAATGAGTTTTCCCAGCATCTGGAAAGAGGCCTTACGTTTTATACTGCTCCCTTTCGCATTTGAACTATCACTTGGATTTCCCATCATGATGGTCAGAGTGGACTGTTTTGGTTGGTCTCATGTCAAGAGCTTTCTGAACGCTTAAATGTCCTATGGCATTCTCTAAAGTTTATTCTAAGGGAAGAGTTAGGTCCACAAGGCCGATATGTTGAATGGTCTACCCTATAGCTGATGCCACATCAAAAAGAACTTTTGGAAAGCCTCTGTGTAGGTTGCTCTGGCCTTTCATATACCGCGGTACTTAGTGTTACACACTCTGCACTGTCCGCTCAGTGTCAGGTAAACATACACTCACCCAACCAAGATCTCTAGCACAAAATGGGAAAATTTATCATAAGATGCTCAGTTAAATGTATTTAATATAAAAGGCTTTCCGAGACAAGGAGGGCTGTGTAGAGAGCTAAAGTCAGAACTCATGACCTGATATTTACAAACAAATCTTAACTTGTCTAGTTATTTTGAAAATACTGTGGAAGAGGAATCAAGTCAGTCCCTCTCCTAAACTATTCACAACATGTGCCTTTCTTGAATGGCAGACGTGGTTTCTAATACATGTTTTTGTCTTGATAATGCCTAAAGTTAGCAAAGGGCATCTCTGGGTACTTGCTTCACTTCCGTCCATTGGTTATTGATTTGGCTTTTCTTCGTACAATTCATTTTACCAGAAGCTTAGTCACTATTAAAGAATTCAGTACTTTCCTAGCTAGCTCAGTTTTTTTGTTGTTGTTGATTTTTTGTTGTTTTACTACAAATATTTCATACATTGGACAAATATCTAACACTTGACCAAATATATAAAATAGTTCAATACTGTACCCATGTACCACCCCTTAACCCCATTATTCCTTCCATTCTCCAGAGAAGATCTTCACCCTGAATTTGCTTTTTATTATTATATAATACACGTTTTTATACTTTTACCATATATTTGTGTATCTATAAATAGCATCTAGGAGTATACTGCATATTTTAAACTTTTAAATACTTGGTGTAACACTTATACATTATTTTTCACCCAGTATTATTTTTCATATTTATTCACTTTCAAACCTCTCCTGGTTCCTAATTCTTGCCAAGGACTGACTGCATAGCTCATTAAGAGCTGAGGTGATTATCATCTCTTAAACTCAGTGAATGACTGATTCCACCTTTCCCTGCTTTACTTACCTACTTCCTAAACTCTCTTTTAGATTTGTATCTCTCCTTTGTCTCCTCTACAACCTGAAGTGACTTGACAGATTCTTACCAATTACAGATTGACAATAGAGAAACACTGTCATATATGCAGTTCCTGGACAGAACAGTTATCTACCAACAGTAATGGAAAAGTTGTTCTCTCTCACTTGCTGTAACAGGTTTAGGCATAATCAATCTCTAACTACCTCAGCAAATTTCTGGGGCGCCTGGCTGGCTCAGTCAGTGGAGCAGGTGACTCTTGATCTCAGGGCTGTAGGTTCTAGCCCCATATTGGGTGTAGAGATTACTTAAAAATAGTATCTTTTTATACCTACATACATACATACCTCAGTCAACACATTTCTGAGTTACCAATAAAGAAATCACATTTATATTGTTTCCATTAACAGAATAAGGTTCTAATTCTTGCTAGAAAAGGGACATTTTTCCTTTTCATTATTTTGTCTCACAAAGAGTAAATATTACTTTTTTAGAATGGTTTAATGTGAAAAGAATATTCCAAGTTCTCATTGTTTTTAGCTTTGTGACCTTGGCCAAGTCACCATCTCTCTGGGTCTTCTGTTTCTACTATTATAAAAGGAAAAGAATTGAGCAAGGTGATTGTCAAGCTTCCTACTCAGAAATTTGGATTCAGTCTCTAGGGAACTGACACATCTCAAAGATCTGGGAGAAGGGAATCATTTATGTCTTTCAGAGGGCAAAAATACTTCCAGATTATAGAACATGCATATGGTAAGAATGGATATTACAGTGAAGATTTATATATTTCATTATCTAATCTTCTCTAGGTAACTAAAATAGGTCACACTTAGACTTCATTTTATTTTAATGCAGCCTCATGTGGCAGGGATATTTGAAGCTGTAGGAGTCAGCTAAGGACTTCTGGCAATTGCATTTTCTTGTGTGTGGTTTTTTTTTTTTTTTTTTAAAGGAGTTTTCTCTCACTTGTTGGTTTTAAATAGTAAGAGTGGTCTTCCTGGACCTGGGTCAGGACCCAGCTCAAATTCTCTTGAATGATTCCCTCTTCTGTTAGACTTGTTGGCCCACATTTTGTACCGTGGCAAAACTCTTCCCTGGCAAGGTGCAGGCCCAGCAAGGAACGGCTGCTCCTCTGGGAGGGTCAGGCAGGAGGACACAGATCATGCTGCTGTACAAACACTCCCCCTTCCATAGACCAGACTGCCTGCCTTATTGGGACTCACAGCACCTTCGTTTTCCTGCTCTCCTAAAAAAGGTGGCATAGAGAAGGGTTTCTGGGCTTTTTTGAAAGGTGGACTTAAAGAGCAATGTGTAGGTAAAGTGTAGAGTCCTGCGGCTGGAATAACACTGGATCCAGAGCCTTTGTAAAGAGGCAGAGTGTCCAGCCAGGAACGCTTTGGCGCTGAAGACTGAGGGACCCAGAAGGCTGCATTTGCTGCATACTGAACTTCTACCAGAGTTCCCAGTCAGAATGATCATGACTGCTAGATCATGATACAGTCTGTGTAGGAAAAAAGACTAAGAGAATATAACCCCAGAATGCCCACTGTGGCTATCTCTAGGAGGCATGATTATAGGTTTCTTTAGTTCCCTCCTTTTTGTGTTTTCCTTACTTTGAACAATGAGCATGCATTACTTGTGAAATTAGAAAAAAAACAGTTAAGTGTTATATTTTTTAGAAGTATCACTGGGTCTCCAGAAGGGATTTCAGAATCCTTGGCATGGCATATAAAGATCCTCACCACTTGGCCCCAGCCCCAGTGAGCTACTGCCCGTTGCTCTGCACGCCCCCATCTCTCACAGCTCCTTGGTGCTTGCTGGCTGCAGCCCCAGCCACCATCTTTCTCCCTGCCCTACCCAGCCTTTGAGACTTCTTTGTCCGCATGTCTGCAAGCTAGGTTTGTTTCTGTCGTTTTATTCCTCCAGAGAGCACTGTATACACATCGTTGCTCTAGCAGTTATCCGTTTACAGAACGCCACTTTGTTTCGTGGCTGGCTCTCATAAGCTCAGGAGCTTACTGAGGGCAGTGGACTGACTGATTTTAAATCACCCGAGGGTCTCCCCTGCCTTGCATAGTATGGGGTGTGTGGTAGACCCTCATTCCATCATGAAGGTCCGCCAGCAGATTTTAAGGTCATTGAATTCCATCTATTTATTTAAAATGTCATTTAATACTTCACCTGGATTAAGATCACAAGAAATATAAAGTATTCCCACTATCTTATATCTGTGGCTCACTTCATGAGTGAGCGCCCATGGACCTGTACAGTGTGTTGCCAGCCAAAATGGCTTCTTGGAAAGGATGGGTGGAAAGTTGATTGTCTTCCTGATCTACCTCGGAGGCTGTGTTTACTATTTTCTGCCCATCTGCACTGTACACTTAGTGCGCCAGCAACCCTTTCTTCGCTAAGGTCTTATACCGCCTAAGTGTCCCTGATACCATCTTTCCCCTTAGACAACCAGATAAATTTTAACATTAGAGGACTTATATTATGAGCACACCCTAAGTCTATTCAGACTGTTTTCCTAAGAAAAAATGAAATTGAACCTTGAGCTTTATCCTAAGGAAAAATGAAATTGAACTCTCCTTTAGGCTGTCCATAAGAGTCTTCTCCATACTTGAATTTATTGGATGCTGGCATCTCCATCTGTTCCTAAAACCTTAGATAATGAAAGAAATCTGTTACATTTCAAATGTGTAGTCTTCTTTTATACAAAATACAGATTATATTTTGTGCAAAGTTGAATTATGTACAGTTGATAGTGGGGTAAGCTAAAAGTATTAATAAAGTCTCATCCAAATTTTAAAAAGAAAAGTTTAACAAAGAATTAGCTAGAGGGAATAAGAAAAGCTAGAGGGCTTGAGTAAATTGTAAAGTGTGTTTAAGCTGCAGCCACACGGCCAGTAAAATGCAGATACCTGACATTCTTTGGCAGTATTCTGTCAGCCACACTGTTGTTAACTGCATAAACTTGTGGCTGTGGTTTGGTGTCTGTTTTTCCATTATCTTAACATCTGCTCTTGTGATCATATGAAATATTTCCATATCCTATTATACTGTCACTTAAGCATTGATTAAATGGTGGCAACACTTGTACTGGTGCTAAAACTAGGACATGAAAATCTTGTTTGGAATAAACTTTTTGTTTTTTGTTATTTGTTTTTTTTAAGATTATTTTTTTGACAGGGCGGGGGGAGAGCACAAGCAGGGGAAGCAGGCAGATAGAGAGGGGGAGGAAGGCTTTCCACTGAGCAGGGAACCCAACACGGGGTTCAATCCCAGGACCCTGAGATCATGACGTGAGCCAAAGGCAGATGCTTAACCGACTGAGCCACCCAGGCACCCCCGGAATAAAGTTTAGAGGTGATAAAGCATGAAGAAGGTTAGATGACCCCTGTGATATCCTATGTTATTACTTAGGAATGAGCACTCTGTAAACACTGGAGGTGCCACTTAGAAATGAAATGGAGCATTGGGACACCTGGGTGGCTCAGCTGGTTAAGCCGCTGCCTTTGGCTTGGGTCATGATCTGGGGGTCCTGGGATCGAGTCCTACATCGGGCTCCTTGTCCAGCAGGGAGCCTGCTTCTCTCTCTGCCTCTGCCTGCCACTCTGCCTGCTTGTGCTCTCTCTATGACAAATAAGTAAACAAAATCTTAAAAAAAAAAATGAAATGGAGCGTTGATACAAGTATACTGTGGTGATATAGATCTGTGTCTCCAGAGAATGCATTTCTTCCTATGGAAAAATTGGTTTTGAATTTTTATGAATGTGTTTTTTGAATTTTTTGAATGTGTTATTCAAAGCCTCTAGGAGCACATCCCTTGCATAAAATGCAGCTATTTTGTTCTTGAGATATTTTTTTTGTAATTAAAATTACTATATGCCAGTTTTTGAATCTCATTTTAAAACACATTGGAACAAAAATTATAGGTTTTTATCTTTAAAGTCTAGAATATGAATGAGTTACATTAATAGGTCTCACCAAGTACTTTACAACTAGCTTAGTAACTTTAAGCTGTTCTTTCGATAGTAGTTTTAAAGGTTTCTTGGTTTAATACTGTATATCCAGGGTCACAGGGACCTCTAGGACAAACATTTGACATCCTGGAATAGGATATTAGAATTGAAGAGTAACAGATCGGGTTACAAAGAAGAAAACCAAGAGGACAGCTAAGGGATGGGCATTTAGAGACCTGCATTTTTACATTCTTATACTGTATTTTTTTCCAAAATTCTTCCCTCATTTTTTGATATGGAGGGGACTTTTCCCACTGTGGTAATAAAGTGAAGTTCAGATACATTTACACAAGTTAAGAGTGGAATTATCTGGTTTTCTTAAAAAAAAAAAATCTATGTAGGCTTTTTCCCTACTCAAGACTTTCTGCTTTCTGGGGGACATAATCTATTAATTAGACTTTTCTTGTCAGCTCGTAGTACCAGTAGGATCATGCTACCATGTACTTGAGGAAGGAGGTGCTACAAATAGCACATCAGGTTCTGGTGAAATCGTGGTTCATGGAGTTTTTCTTCTTTTCAAGATAACGCATATGGTAAAACATTACGGCAACACCACGGCTGGGTGGTTCGAGGGGTTTTTGCGGTAAGTAATCCTCCTGCCTTCCAGTGTTCTGATGGTCCCAGCAAGATGTTTTGTTTGTTTCGTGTGCATGTGTGCATGGCATTTCTGTTTGCTTTGTTTTCAAGAATAAGAACACAGTGTTGCCTATTTAAGTCTGTAGGTCTTTGTTGTATGGAAATGTTGGCAATAAAAAATGTTTAGACTGGAAAAGACTGTTAGCAAGCAAGCTTTTCCCTGGCCAGCTCCTGTGACTTTCTCAGATTATGTTTGCCTCTCTGATTAGTGCAGAGATAAGCAGGAATTCTGCAGTGATGGGAGGCCCGGGTGGTGCTTTCAAGCTCATAGCTCCCTCTGCTGCCCATTGTATTTGGTCCTTTTAATTCTCAGGTTTTAAATTGATTTTTTCTTCCACTTAGTCAAATTTTGGTTTTGAATATTAACTCAATTGGGTGTGCCAGTAGCCAGGGCTTCTTCAAAACCTCTTCTTACTCAGTTTGTTTGTTTGTTTGTTTGTTTTTCCATTGTTGAATGTGTTTGTCTTCCACATGTTTTGGCTCCTGTTACCCCGCTCCTCCTTCCTTCCCAGCATGTTGACCTAAGAAGACACATACCTGGGAATCAGTATCCCCTGCACAAAGCAGTTAGCCTTCTTTTTTTAGCAGGAGTAGAGGGTGCCTTTATGCCAGCAGTAGTGCTCTGTGTTTCTCCCAGCATCTCAGGAGAGGTCAGCCTTAGGTACAGCTGTGAAAAGGTAGAGCCTTGTGTAGCGGACACTAGCAAACACCGCACAAGGTGAGTGTTCCGTGGCAGGTCATAAGGTAGAAATAACCTTGTACATGTCTTTCACTAATTTAAAGGATAAGAGACATTATTTGCCTGCAGTGAGAACTGTTTAGGTTATGATTTGTTAGGGGGTAGGTAAAGAAAGGGGGAAGAATGGACAGTGGAAGAAATAAGTTGTAGTGACATGAGATGTGTTTTGAGGGCGTGGCAATGACTAGCTCCACACCCCGGCGCTCACTGCAGCCAGAGCCAGCGCAGAGGCAGCTGCAGAGTGCTCATGCTTGCCTTCCGTGCGTGAGGCAGAATCATCACCAGAGCTGCCGCTTGGCTGGCGCACACCTTTGTGTACCAGGCACAGTGCGTGGTACTTCCACATTCATTATCTTCAGTAATCCTCAGGATGTACTCTGCTGTCAGCAGCGCGCATCCCCCGCGTCGCCGCTCTCCGCAGCCAGTGATGGGGAGGCTGCCGCTGAGGAATTGGGTACATTCAGTGATCTCCCGGAGTAAACCCTGACTGCTTGGGGGTGCCTGAAACCCCTCTTCCGCTGAGATGACAGAGCATAAAAACATTGAGTTGCCCTATTCGCAGGAAACTTAAATGTGTTGTTGTAGCTGTTGTTGTGGTCTAGAAGTCAGAGTTTAATCCTCAAATAGTAATGATCCGAGAGATGTTGCCTACAAGAATGCAAGTGTAGCAGAACATTCAACATAACCAAGAGTCTCTAAGAGGACTTTTCAAATCATAGCATTTTTCCCAGTATATAGTAATCTAGACTCATTTTAAAAATATAGAAATCATGGACGAATAGAAAGAGAAAAAATTAAAATGTCCATAGTCTCACCAATCCATAATAACCATTTTAAACATTTTTGTGTTTTACCTTCTTAGCTTTTATTTTTATATATAGACATATTCTTTTAATATTGTTCTATTTAATTTTATATACTTATCTAAATGTATATCTCTTTATAGGTGTTTATATTTTTATATCTACATGTTACATTTGTAAAATTATTTTGTGTACTCTGTATGTGTATGTAAATTTTTTTATATTTACCTTGTAGTACAATTTTGTATTATTTTCCCCCTACTTAAAGATTCTATCATGGGCCATTTTTAAATGCCATAAGCGTCTTTGAAAATCGTTATTTTTAGTGACTGGATAATATTTCCCTAGTATGGAGGTACCATGATTTATTTGCCAGGCCTCTGTGCTAGAAGTTTAAGCTGTTTCCAAGTCTGTTGTTACAAAAACAACAGCATTCATTTACATGCATTTTTTACTAAAACTCTTTTTATTTCCTAAAAATAGGTTCCTAGAAGTGGAATTGTTATGTCTAATACCAAGAACTATTAGAACTTAGAATTTTGAGCACTTACCATGCACCAGCTGTTGTTTTAAGTGCTTTACATACGGTTAGTAATCTCATAGTTGCAAAGTGTGTTCTCTTACTTACCCTGTCATAGACAAAGAAACCTGAAACACAAGAGGTGAGGGAGTACACCCAAAGTTAAAAAGGAAGGACATTCTGAAGGCTCTTGATATTATTGCCAATAATTTTTAATAGTTGCTGGTTTCTAAGAAAATAGATTAGGTTGAGCGTTTGCCAACAGCCATATTCATAGAAGAGCTAGATTGGCCCTTCCAGCCCCTCTCCTGTTATTCTGCAAGCCATTCCTACTGTAGGTGTACTGTTTCCCAGTGTGCTAAGTGATCAGCAGGGGGCAGAGTCATTAACTGCTTTCAGTTGCTCAGGGAAACATCTTTTACACTCCAGGAATTTGAGTCATTTACCAGCCAAAAAGTGAACTTTTATGTTCAGGCCGTTGTAATTCACAGGACGGTTGCAGTGCACAGGATGGTTGCAGTGCACAGGATGGAAGCCCAGGCCAGGCTCTACCTCTGGCATGCGTCCTAACCATTTGTCGTTTGACCTTTTTGGTTTCCTCCTCAGTTGAGTTCAATCACTGGTTCCCAAGTAGGCTTGGCTGCATCACAGACCCCTAGGAACCTTTGAGAAATACTTTTCGAGAAAACTTTTCACAGATCATATTGTACCTAAATACATGTGCAGAGGGCTTGATTTGTTTTTTTATCAAAAAGTTCAAAAAGGTTTTAACAAAAAATAGCAGTCCCTACCTTCTGTCCATACCTTTCCAGACTCACTCCAAAGAGGCTGCCACTTTCAACTGCTGTGACTGTTTCTCCAGTACCTCCAAAATCCTAACAATGTTTGCTGTTCTTTTTGGCCTTATCAGTTTTAGTCATTAAGATTGACTTTCTGTTATTATTAGAATTTAGCTTTCTTTGACCTATCACTATCTCCCTTCCCCTGGCTCTACCTTCCCAATGTAATTATATCACAAGTTAACATGATGAAGATGAGCCAAAATTCTATGGGTCTTAAAAAAGAAAAAAAAATTCTATTGGTCTTTTTTTTCCTATATAGGTTTTATATTTTCCCCTGCATTATCAAATCTCTCAAATCACCATCATTCTGAACCCATAGATGTATCATGTTATCTGTGTTGCTTTTTTTTTTTCTTGGAGACTTCCCTTCCAGAACTTTCTAAACTCAATGCCAATCTTAATTAGCTATTCAGGCCTGTTGTACTGCTATGCATTAGACTCTCCTTTACAAGTATTCCTGTGCTGAATCTCTATCTCACACTAACTTCCAGGTTCTGTTACTTCCCTATTTCTTGATCCTCTCCCTTGTTTTAGTTGTGTCTTCTAGTTGCTTCCTAAAAGTGATATAAGGGAGCTAAACTTCCGAGTTCTTACATGCCTGAAAATGTCTTTATTCTGCAATTTTCTAGAGTGATGCTTTGGTTTGTATAGAATTCTAGGTTAATAATAATTTTCTCTCAATTTTGAAGGCATTCCTCTGTTGTCCTTTAGCTTCTACTGTTGCTACCGTAGACTCTAATCACATTCTAACTCCTGTTCCATTGTATATAAACTGTCCCCGAAGCCCCTTCTGGATGCTTCCAGGATCTTTATCCCTACATTCTAAAATTTCATGATATTCTCCTTTTAGTCTTTATCATTCATTTTGCTGAGCACTGGGTAGGTCTTTAAATCTGAAGACTCATATCCTTCAGTTCTAGGAAATTTTGTCATATTATTCTTTACATAATCGCCTTCCTTTCATTCTCTGCTCTCTCCCATGTACTTCTACCATTATTTGAGTATTTGGTACATGTGATAAAGTGGGCTGAATATGTGATACGTATTCCATTAATCTTTCAAATAAGAAAATTGGTACCAATCCTCTGCTACAGATGAGGAAATGGAGGTTTTAAGAGGTTAAGGAGCTTGTTTAAATTTCTCAGGCTAACATGGGAAAGGTTTGGGATTCAAGTCCAGGTCTCCTTCATCCAAGTCTGTGCTTTGACCACTGCCAGATCATGCCAGGCACTCTCCAACTGCAAAAAGGGGCTGTGGCTCGATTCTCAAAGACTTTTAAAGAATAAGGAAGCTCAAGAAAGAGTGTGGAGTAATTAATTCAAGATTCCATAGTCTCCAGCACTGTCAGCAGCGCCAGTCTGGTGGATCCCAGACAGCAGATTTTGGCAGGCTTAGGGGAGAACTGGCCTACAAAGGGAAGAGAGCTATCTGGAGTCTAGGAGCCATTCCATCAGGGAAGTGGTTTGGTGTGGCAACGTGGTGGAATAACACAGAGTCGCTCCTAAGTTCAGATCCTGGTCCTGACACTCATTAGCTGTATAATGTTCATCTGTAAAATGGGGATATCAACTGCACAGGGTCCTTATACACATTAACTGGGGTCAAATATGCCACAGCATCAGTGCACTGGCAGACAACAAATGTGAGCTCCCTTCCATTTTAGAAGATATTCAAGGGTGCAGAGGAAATATTATCCATGCGGGGAGAAAGAGAGATAGGCAAAGAAGCCTATCTGGAGGTGGGACACAAATGAGATGCCCAGGAAGCCTGGCCACGTGGGAACACGACTGTGGGAGCAACATGTATGCTGTTGGATTCTGAGGATGCAAAGAGAATAGTCTGGATCACACCATGCATGAGGAGGGGGCTTTTCTCAAACTCTCAGCATTCCCTGATTTGTTGGTGTCATTCATCCCCAGCATGGCCCAAGTATACACTTGCTTCTTCCAGCCTTAGAATCGGTTGTGTTGGTGTTTGAAATACAGTTTCAGCGTGCATGGATTGGAAGGGTGTATTCCTGCTGTTTTACTCTTGCTGTGCTCTCTCTGCGTGCGTGTGAGTGTGTGTGCATGTGTGCACTTGGGCGATAGCGAGAGCCGCGCTGCGAGATTCTCACGGGCAGCTCTTTTGCAGTTAGCTCTGAGGGCAGCTCCGTCCTATGAAGACTTTGTCGCCGCATTAACCATAAAGGAAGGCGACCACCAGAAAGCAGCCTTCGGTGTTGGGATGCAGAGGGACCTCAGCCTCTACCTCCCCGCCATGGAAAAGCAGCTGGCGATCCTGGACACTTTATATGAGGTCCACGGACTGGAGTCTGACGAGGTGGTATGACGTCTGCGGGACCGCGCTGCCTCCTAACTTCAGGGAATAAAGTCTGCTAAAGTGTTTTGTTGCCCTGCTTAATTTCCAGCAGCAGCTTCAGCCCTCTCCAACCCCTTCCTTGGGATGGAGAGAAGGAGGCAAAGCCTAGTGCTTTTATATATAATTTTTAAAAATGCATATGTCTTTTGTGTGTTTAAAAATCAAGGTGCTATATATTTCAGTTCACAGGGCCTCCTGGAAACCAAATCATAGCTGTTATATTAGACTTGAATAGCAAGTTTAAGAGCAGATTTAACAAATTAATTTGTCGGTATTGTGTTTTATTTTTACCCTTTTGTTCTAATGGGCCTCCCAAACCCAAGCTGAAAATGAGCAAATTCTGTATCAAGGACTATAACACATAGCCAGTGCTTCAGTCAACTTAGACTAAAAACTGGGGGGGAAGCTAAGTCACTTTGTGGAAGCTATTGAAATGTGGAGTCTGGTATTCCTAGACATTCAGAGAATCCTCTTCTTCATGGCTCTGTCAGCAAGAAGAGCCTGTGTCGTCCAGGTGTTTGGGGCACTGGTGTGGGCCTGTCCATGTGGGAGGAGGAAGACACAAGGAGTGCCATCCCTATTTATGTGAGGGGAGACTGCAGCTCCTATACCCAACCCCACGCTGGAGGACAGCATGGCAGTGACGCAGCTTGTCACCCGAGATGACCCCTATTCAGTGCTTTGCCAGCATGCTTTCCCAGCATCATCTGAATTGGACATTACAGTGAAACTGACATCCAAGCTTATTGTCCATTTCAGAAGTAAGGTTGGGAAGTTGAGGAATTTGCTCACAGTCACACAGCTTCTAGTGAGGGATGCAGGTCATTCCAGAGTGTGGTCTGGACCACCTCTGCATCAAAATCACATGGAGTGCTTCTTCAAAAAGCAAATTCCCCATCGTATGTTTATAAAAAATTAAAAAAAAAAAACAAATTCCCAGGCTTTACCCCCACCTGAAGGACCAGAATAGCGGGGGTGGGACTTAAGAATCTGCATTTGAATAAAATTTAGAGGTGATTCTTTTGCACCCAGGGTTGAAGAACCACAAGATTAAATTCTAGTTTAAATTCTAGTTCACAGGACTCCCCATCTTCCACATGAACTAATTGATAGGTCCCCTTTTTCCCCAAAAATGGAAATTGTATTTCCATTGAAATACAATAGTTAAAGGGAGAGAGAGAAATGGAGCAAGTTTGCTCACAGTTTTCTTGATTGAACTGGCCTCAGCGCCCAGCCAGCAGGCTTCGGCATCACATCCGGAGACCACGGTTCTGAATGTGCAAAATGAGCAATCCTGGTATAGCCGCCAGTAGCGCACAGCAAGCCCAAGACAGTTGCTCATCAATCTCAAAAGCTTTGGGACTGTGTCCAGATTTAAAGGTGGAATTTAAACTTGGGTCCAGCAACCCTGGGTAGGCATTGTCCTGAAAAGTGTGTGATACCAGGAGGCTCTAGTAGGCCAAGGTGCCAAGAGTGGGCGTGGGTGGGAAGTCATGGTGGCGTCCCCACCGGGGGCTGCTTCCTTCTAGTAGCTAGAGGAGAAGTTCCAGCAGGAGGTAGTGCCCCAGAGTAGAACGTGACTTCCTTCAAAGGACGCAGGGGAATGCTACCTGAGCAGCCCCTAAGATGATACTTTTCCTAGAGCAGAGAGAACCCACTCTTTAGGCAGAGACTGACATAGAGAGGGGTTTTGATTTTTTCTTTTGTTTGTCCTTAAACAAATTGGCATTCACTTAGCTCAGGTTAATGAAACAGGTATTCCACTCACTAAGGACTTTTGGAAAATGCTTAAACTTAGAAAAATGAAAGTTTTAAGGCTGGGGGAAAAGGTGCTAAAATAATATTGATTCTTTTGTATTTTAGCACTTGCTGTTAGCAACTGCTGAGGGGGGTATGTCATTTCCCCCCACTCCCACGAGTAGTTAGTGTGGAAATCCTCTGGTTAGTGTGACTATAATGGCAGAACTAGAGGATAATTCAGGCTTCCTGTCCTTGACATCGCCTTCTAAAAGGAAAAAAGAAAGAAACAGCCAGTCTTTGCTTGAACCTTGAATGAGGACACTTTAGGCATTGTGCTGCTGGGAGAGGATGCCCCCAGGAGACTATAAGTCTCCATCCTGAGCAACTGCTGCTGCCCCCTTGTCACCTCAAGTGAACTCTGTGGGCTCTTGGAAAAGGGGCGGGCACACAAAACACCGCAGATTGGCCACTGAGGTTCCCGGTACACACAGAAAGCAAGCTGCTCGGCATGGTCCTTTCACATGTATTTAGGTATTGCCTTGGTTTATAGACCTCCGTTTTCTGGGGAAGAAGAGTTTAGTATTGTCTAGGATCCTTGGGAACCCAGATCAGGATAGCTTGAATAACTTGAATAGGTTATATTTTGTACTCCCCCTTTTCCCACCCCTATAGAAAGGTTCTTGATAGGTATATTCCTCGCTGGAGTGTGTTCAGTTTGCCTGAGATGTATAAAGCTCAGGGGGTCCTAAATAAAAGCTTAGATTAGGTGATATACTAGGTGATAAATTCAACTTGGCCTGAAGTTTGGCACAGTCAGAGCTTCCTCCTGGATCTATGGCATTAGCTTCTAGTTCAAGTACTAATCTGCAGGTATCGCCTAAGATGGGAACAAAGAGAAAAAATAGTTAAGACCTTTTCTGCATGATCCTCCATGGTTTCTGGGACATCTCATCTTTCTTCCCCCCAGACAATGAGAGGAGATGAAAACACTAGTCTGCCTGTGGACAGAGGAATCACCTTGCTTTCGTTCCTTGAAACATTTTTAGGAGTCCTTTTTTAGAGTAACCGTTAGAGAGATCCGGAAGAAAAAGGTTAATTTGTCTTCTAGGAATTAGTAGAAGCTTATAAGTAACATTTGGATAATCCTTACAAAGTGCTTGCAAATACATAATTTCATCATATGTGCACTTTTTCCCACAGGAGAAGCCAGACTTTACACGTAGGAGGGAGCGACGTGTAGTTGTCCAGTGGAACAAAATCCTTTCAGTGATGGCAAATTTTTTGTCCTTTGAAAGTAAATTTATTCATTATAGCTAATCCTGGTGAAAAATGTTAAGTGAGAGGGATACCTTTTGGGGGCAAAACCAACTTATGACTATGAGGTGGAGATGGTTCTCTTGTCAGCTCTTGATCCGGCCCTGTAGGGAGTTCTGGAAGCAGGGCTCTCAGGATATGGAACATCTCAGTCCCCAGGGGCTGGAGGCAGTGTTCATTAGGATGTGTAAGTGGTGGCTTGAGGCACCTTGTCAGCACTGTTTGCATGTCATTCTGAACATAAAGCTTCCTCAAATGTCAGTTTGCATGAAAAGGGGTATCTGAGCTCCAGAATTCAGCCTCACTGCTTCCCTCTCCTGTTTTCTCTTATGAAAGACTGCCTGCAGAGCCCCCTCCGAGCACCAGATCCGAGCACCAAATCCATGCCCCATCTTAGCTGTTCTGCCCCAGACCATAACACGTATGCGGGGCACCCAGTACAGACCTAGCTCAGGGTGAGCTGTCCAGTCAGTGCGGATTCTGTTCCTCTCTTGGACTTCGGGAGCTTCTCTAAAGACCCTCCGTTCCCACATGTAGCTGGGAAGCAGGTAGCGCCATGCGGCAAATGCCCTCTCCTTCGTTGAGCGCTGCTGGGAAAGTGTGTGGGCTTCTCTTTTTGATTCTTAATTGGACGTATGTAGATGTCCCAAAAAGTTAATGCTTTCAACTTTACATTTTCGCAACAGTGCTTTTTTTTTTTTTAAGATTTTATTTTATTTATTTGACAGAGAGAGATCACAGTAGACAGAGGCAGGCAGAGGAAGAGAGGGAAGCAGGCTCCCCGCTGAGCAGAGAGCCCGATGCGGGACTCGATCCCAGGATCCTGAGATCATGACCCGAGCCGAAGGCAGTGGCTTAACCCACTGAGCCACCCAGGCGTCCCCGCAACAGTGCTTTTAATTAAGAAAAACACATGGTAGGAACCAGTATTTCTTAAGTAAGAGGCAGCGTATTAAGGAGACTTAGTCTGATGATGAAAGTCATACATGTGAAGAAACGTCATTTAAGCAGTGAGTCAGACGGCCATGAGCAATATAAGATGATGTGAGGCAACTTTCAGAAAGAAAATTATTTTTATGTTTTTTTTCTTTTTAAACGACTACATCCCATGAGCAGTTGGTTACTTAATGGTGCATTTCTGAGTCATTGATTAAAATCAGTTGCTTCTGATTTTAGTCCTGGGTTTTACAACACTTGAGCTTCCTATTCTGATGTTTTGTGTGTTGTTGTTTTTTTTTAAGGTAGACTACCAACCTTTCTTACATTTTTAGATTTAGAATTTGTAAGTAAAGTATATTTTAAGCCATCATTCTGTTAGCTTAGCTGATGTGCTTGGTTGCAGAGAGCCTGACATCAGATGCTCTCTGTGATGTGGTATGGTCTGTACATCAGCATCAGCGTGTGTGGCAAATCTGTGTCCCTGTGAGGTGTGTATAGAGGGCTTTATTTGGAAATAACGTTCTGCTTCTGGACGTCCCTTTGTAGCCTGCAGTAGCTTACTCAGGGCTTTCGTAATCATGACATAAAAAGATACTCAGTAGCTGTCTAACAGTATTTTAAGACTGCTTATCAATTACAATGTTGTTAGGGATCATTCAACAATTCCACGAACACACTGTTCGCCAGACCATCTCTGTAAACACTCCCGGTCCCCTCCCGTTGCAGCCTGTAGTTGCGTGTACAGAGGCCATTTGCATGATTTCTTGTTGCACTGCTGCACTAAGGCACTCCAGGGCGTGGTTCAGTGATCTGTGGTGGTACGGTTGACGCATGCGTTGGTTTTTCTCCCCCACTGTTTTGATATAGCCTTTCATTAAAAGGAACAACAAAAAAAAAAAAACTGCTACGACTCTGTAATGCAAAAGTTTGCAAGATTTTTCTGGTTACCCTTTTTAATCATTTCTCCTTCAGAATGAACAGATGTTTTCTGCTAAGCTATATGAGAACCCAAGAAAGAGATCCTGCTTGTT